ACAGGTGGTTGTAGAAACTCCTGTATGTACAGGTGGTTGTAGAAACTCCTGTATGTTCAGGTGGTTGTAGAAACTCCTGTATGTACAGGTGGTTGTAGAAACTCTTGTATGTTCAGGTGGTTGTAGAAACTCTTGTATGAGCAGGTGGTTGTAGAAACTCCTGTATGTTCAGGTGGTTGTAGAAACGTGTGTTTATACAGGTGGTTGTAGAATCTCTTGTATGTTCAGGTGGTTGTTGAAACTCCTGTATGTACAGGTGGTTGTAGAAACTCGTGTATGTACAGGTGGTTGAAGAAACTCCCATATGTTCAGGTGGTTGTAGAAACTCCTGTATGTACAGGTGGTTGTAGAAACTCCTGTATGTTCAGGTGGTTGTAGAAACTCCTGTATGTACAGGTGGTTGTAGAAACTCTTGTATGTTCAGGTGGTTGTAGAAACTTGTGTATGTGCAGGTGGTTGTAGAAACTCTTGTATGTTCAGGTGGTTGTAGAAACTAGTGTATGTACAGGTGTTGTAGAAACTAGTGTATGTACAGGTGGTTGTAGAAACTCGTGTATGTGCAGGTGGTTGTAGAAACTTGTATGTTCAGATGGTTGTAGAAACTTGAGTATGTTCAGGTGATTGTAGAAACTTGTGTATGTTCAGGTGGTTGTAGAAACTTGTGTATGTTCAGGTGGTTGTAGAAACTCGTGTTTATACAGGTGGTTGTACAAACTCTTGTATGTGCAGGTGGTAGCTGAAACTTGTTTTTATACAGGTGGTTGTAGAAACTTGTGTTTATACAGGTGGTTGTTGAAACTCTTGTATGTTCAGGTGGTTGTAGAAACTCTTGTATGTTCAGGTGGTTGTAGAATCTCTTGTATGTTCAGGTGGTTGTAGAAACACTATATTGCCACTTTTCAACCATTGGTCCACCTATAGGCACAAGGACCTGAAGTCAGATAGTCTTAGCTCATGGTACTCACTTTGTCTTTGAATTATGTTAAGATTAAACATAAAATACAAGTAACTACAAGAGACATTTGGATTAGATTTAAGCCCATATCTAGATTTGCACACCTTATAAGACCACATACACTCAAATTTTAATTTATGAAAAGTCCCATGAGCCTTTGGTGACCAAGCATATGTTGAATTTTCTCCATGTCCATTGACTGAAATAAAAAAAAAAGAATGAGGGCAACCGCACTGGCTGCTAGCTTATTCATAAAAATAAAACAACTTTACTTGAGAAGAATTTGCATTTCATGTATTATATTACTGCATTTGGCCCACAGCTCTGATTGATTTTAATTTGGGCCCTCTCAGGGAAAATGTTTGGGCACCCCTGGTTTAAACACATGAAAGATTCTGGTTTTCTTGGTGTGTAACACCAACACCGTGTCAGGCACACATGGACAGGATGTAACGTACGCTGAAACAAAAATATTGAGAGGTTAGAATTAGGAAAACAGAATGTCAGGAATTTTGGTAAAAAAGGCCAATCGCAGCAATAAAAACAATCTTCAAAATAAAAGTCATGTTTGTTGTTTGGAACCATTTGTTTCCATCTGTGTGAAACATCAGTGTTGACTTAGTGAACTAAAAGTTAAATAAAATGTTTATTTTTTACTTCATTGACAGTGTGGATAAAATCCTGGAACTCATATTTACACCAAGATGGTTCCAATAGTTGTGAGTTAACAGTTATAGAGCTTAATTTTCTGGTTTCACAGGAACAAAATCCTCGTAAAATGTCAAGATATTCAGTGATTTATGAACATTTTTATTAAACAACAAATTATTAGACTGGTGTCAAAACGAAGAACTTTTAACTTTGTAGAGAAATACTGAAATGGTTCCATTTTACAGTAAGAATAATTTAAAATAGACAAATAGTTATTAATTAGCTGTAAACAATCAAACAATTAAAAAGTAGCTTCATTCTTGACAAATAATGAAAACATTTGTTCATGTTTTTTTACTGTTTAAGAGATTTTAAATTCGATTTTAAATATTTAACATTTATCTACTTGTTAGTGCTGTGAGCATTCATAGATGCAAAGTTTGTTTTGGGATAAAGCTATTTAGTTTAAAAAGAAAAAACTAGTTAAAATACATGTTGTGAACAGTGAGTATACATAAAAAATGTTTTTTATTATAATTGTAATTTTCTTTTTAATTGATTGTTAAAAATATGCAATAATTCATTTAAAGGACGTTTTATTTTGTAAACTGATTTGAATGAGCGTGAAATCTTCCATGAAATTGAACTGTGTGGTTTGATTCTCAGCTCTGTCACACTCGGCGCGCCTGAAAACAGAAACACACACTCAGACTGAAACACGGTGCAAAACGAGCACGCACACGAAATATCTGATGGCGTGAGCGCAGAGCTGACGGTAGCACACATGCAGCTAAAGCCTCCTTACGTAACTCCAC